TTTATTTTTGACAGGAGGAGGGGCAGAGAGAGAGAGAGAGTACAAGTGGGAGAGGGAACAGAAAGAGAGAGAGAAAGAGAATCCAAATCAGGCTCCAGGCTCTGAGCTGTCAGCACACAGCCCAATGCGGGGCTTGAACTCACCGTGAGATCACAACCTGAGCCAAAGTCTGATAATCGACTGAGCCACCCAGGCGCCCCTCAGAAGTTATCTTATTTCAAAAATATTAAAGAAAATATTTGGAAAAAAAATTAAACCAGCGTGTGATTAGTTTACTGAGGAAATTACCAGAATCTTACTCTTGAAATCTAATAGATTTAATAGAATTTTGAGTTGCAAGTTTGCTCTGCCTGGCAGGATGGGTGCATGTGGCATGGTGTGCAGAAGGATGAAAAGTAAATAGGAACCATTTACCATAGAGAAAGGCTACACGTTATGCTGCTGGGACCTTAGTAAAAACAGTCCCTCTTCAGCAGCACCTTCTTGTTAAGGTTGTGTTTTGACACATTCCTACTTCATACTGTCTTCTTCAAACCCCATTACAAATTGTAATTTCCTCCAGAATATATGAAATAGATTAGTGTGAACATGTCCATATGCCACTCCTTTGCATTTTACCAAGCAATGGTGAGCACTCATTTATCTGGGAGATACTGTCTATATCTCCATGAGAACACTGTGGGCTCTCTTGAGTTCTCAGCTTCCTTTTACTACCTCAGTGTCCTAAGAGTTGACCCATTGAAAAGCTAAGCAGGAAAGGAGGGGTGTTTCTGCAGATGATAAATCCTTCCTTGGAAGATACACATCCTCACTTCTCAACTTCCATAAAACATTAATATTTTTTCTTCCAGGATTTGATCAGACAGGTGTTCAGTTTGTACAATGAAAATGTGTTAGGTTTGTGTGTGTTTGTGATAAAAAGGGAGCAGGAGAAATTAGAAACTTCAGGAATGTACAAAACCTTAGAGAGGCTCAGGCAGACATTTTACTTAGTGTACATGTTTTCAGTTATAAGAAATTTGGGGCTTCAGCATAATTAAGGCACATGTATATTTTTAACTTTATATTTGAAAATAACTTCAAATGCAGAAATAATTTCCAAATATAGAAAAGTTGCAAGGATAAGAGACAACTCCTATATACCCTCTACTCAAATTTAGCTATTGATAACATTTTATTCCATTTGCTTTACTACATGTGTATTTGTGCTCTGGGGATGCATACTTTTTTTTCTGAACCATTTGAAGGTAAGTTACATGCATCGTGGCCTTTTACCTCTAAATACTTAAGCATGCACTTGCTAAGATTTGGGATATTAAGTGGCCACAACACAGTTCAGCCAATTTAATGTTGATAGGATAACTTACCATCCAAATTCCAATTTTGGCCACTGGCGCTTTTTTTTTTTTTTTATCACTCCAGTTTAGGGTCAAATGTTACATTCAGTTTTCATGTCTCAGCCTCTATTAATGTGAAATATTTCCACAGCACTTTTTTAAGGCAGGTATTTTAACAGAGTAAGGTGTAGATAGTACTTGTAAAGTGATCAGAAGGTATTAGATTATACCCTCAATTTAACCAAAGAAGAGTAATATAAATGTGTTGTTTTTAGTTATATCTCTTACTTTCCAGGTATTAGTTTTTCTAGCTTCATATGTAAACAATACACTGATTTTGAAAATTATGTTACATTTTTGTCATGTTTTGTGATGTAACTATTTCGAAACTGACACTTTAAAAATTCTAATAATTGAACTGATTGCTTTCGTCTTTGTCAGCAACCTTAAAGTCCAAAGCAATAGCTGATATTTCTGATGAGTTTCAAGGATTTAAGAGTTGACCCTTAAATTGTTAAAAATACATTGATTACAGAAATATCAATACTATCACTGAATTTTCACTTTGTAAGTTATATTAAAGGATAGTCAATTCAAAGTTATTAACATGAGATAACATTTATCAATTGAATACCTGACATTTGGATTGGTTACAGCCCATTCTGGCATGCACCATTAGCTTGTGTTACAGAAATGAAACCCCAAGTGAATCAAATGGGCTAAAATGGTCGGTATGCGGTTTCCTAGAGTAAAACCCAAAAAGGATGAAGAAATTCTGGGCAGTAGAATCAAGTGGTCTCCAGGATAAAGGTGCCTTGTGTGACCTAAAGAAAGGAAGATTTCTTATTTCAATTCAGAATTTAAAATATTAATTATAAGGAGATGTTAATGTAACATGTCCTGAGCAATGATGTTATGCCTAATATGCATTTGTTTTGTCCATTTGTTAATGAAGTTTCCTTTTTCCAGATGCCAAATCTCAACCAAGTGTTCAGTTTTCAAAAGCCTTAATTAAACTACCTGACAACCATCATATTAGCAACGTAACAGGCTATCTTACAGTTCTACAACAATTTTTGAAAGTGGACAATTTCCTGTATACAACTGGAATTATGCTCAATAAATCAGGTACTATCTAGCTTTTATATAAATAATACTTAAAAGAAACAGTATATAAAGCTAGTTATTAAAATGTTATAAGGCAATTTCCTTTCATCCAGTGAAAGAAAAATTATACCATAATCTTCTGCATACATTATATTAAATTAATGAAAAATTTAATGTACAGGATATTTCTACCCAAAGAAAATAGTAATGGTACTGTATAACTTTTCAGGTTAAAAAAATACATAAAAATGAAAATTTGACCTAAAGAAGTTTATACATGTTTTTAGAATTTGACCTTCAATTATTATCAAATTAATCAGAACTGTCAATAATTGTTAGACATAAAAAGTTTATAGATGGGAGTAACCAACTGGAAGTTTTTCTTAAATAAATTTGATATTCTAAGTTAGTAAAATTATAAGTTTTTAAAAAACATATACAGTTGACCCTTGAACAATGTAGAGATTGCCTCCCCCCAGTTAAAAAACTCATATAACTTTTTGATTCTCCAGAAATGTAACTACTGATTGCCTACTGTTGACCAGAAGCCTTACCAATAACTGTCAATTAACACATATTTTGTATATTATATGTGTTATTTACTGTATTCTTACAATAAGCTAGAGGAAGGAAAGTGTTAAGAAAATCCTAAGAAAGAGAAAATACATTTACGGTACTGCATTTATCAAAAACAATGCACATGTGCACTTCAAACCCATGTTATTCAAGGGTCAGCTGTATTCCAGATTCAGCAGCATATATATATATTTCTCTCTCTATATATATATACACACACAGTATAGGGCTGTCACAACCTAACAGGTAAGAGGATGATGGGCTTTTACATTTTATTTAATATACCCATGAATAAACCCCGTAAAATCTCTCTTCTCTCTACATCCACCTTTGTTCCACTATTTCTACCACCTGTGGCAACATATAACTGAAACTCCACTGTTTTTAAAAATCACCTCAGTCTATAATTTTGATGATTTCATTTAGGTCAAATTTTGTTCCATTTCATTTGGGGAACAACCAGAAATTAGAGTAATAAGCATATAGATGTTTTGGTTAGTTTTGTTTTTTTTTCTTACCTATTGTAGCCGATGCTATTGGTGCTCCAGCAAGATGACTGTCCCTCCTCTGTTATGGGCCTGTGTTTCCTGCTGCACACATCTGTGACTCTGCCTAAAGGCATTCCGTGGTCCAGCAAGCAGGCAAGGCCCTCACTAGGGCAAGCTCTCAACTAATAGGCAAGAGTACAAAGAGAGTACATATCTATTCCTTAATACATCTTTTTTTGTCTTCCTTCTTCTTTATATGTCTCCACTCCCTCAATGGTGGGTACTTCCTCCCAAATTGATATCTCAGGCTTAGCTTCTTGAAGAAGCCAATCTAAGACACCTGCCAAAATTTTCCAGATGGAAGTTATAGGATGCTCAAAATAAAAACATTTACAAGGATGGGACCAGTCTACCATATCACAAATGAAGCTCATGTGGTCCTGAGGACTTTTTATGGTCAAGATTCATTAGGCCCAGTGGGAAGGGGACATAATGGGTGCTTCCTTCCAGCATTCCTCTACCACCTGCTTTTGAGACTATTCATTCACTGTTTCAGTTATCCTGAGAGTGCTGCTAACATTTTAAAAGTTCTAGAGCAGTGCCACCAATGGCAATGTTCTTCTGCTCTATCCAATATGGTAGCTACTAGCCACATGTGTCTGTTGAGCTCTTGAAATATAACTAGTATACTGAGGAAATAAAGCACTAACGTCCTTTAAATTGCAACATGTTGCTGGTGGCTACTGTATTGGATTGGCTATTGTATTGGATAGTTCTAGTGGTCTGTGAGTAAAAGTTTTTTTCAAGTTGCATCCTTATCATTATCTTTTAGTCTCTTTTTCTCTTGTACCATTCTCTTTTCCTTCTTTTTTGAGTTGAGTTGGCCTTATCTCACATGGTGGGGAGTTGATCTCATAATTTCAGCTGCATTTAGGATGTAAAGCCACTGATGCACAGAACCGAGGGGTGGGAGTGGAGTGAAGAGCAGGCACCTCAGAAAGCCAGCTGGCTTTACTAAACAGTTTGACATAAGAAATTATAACTACTTACAGATTACCTAATAATTTATTTGTGCTTACATTGGATTTGTACTAGTGTAACTGGTCTACAAAATATGTATGCCATTACTTTGCTTATCTTAGTGTTTCAGGAAGTTTACCAAGGCTAATTGTCTTCTATTTCATTGAAGTTTTTCATTAAGCCAGTAATTGCTCTGACAGGTGAAGATACACACCAGATATAGTAGTAGTGATAATGAGAATTCCTTTCCAGGGCCTGGAAGGCCCTCTGTTATTTCTACCTCTTTGCCCTCCAACCTTCTTTCATTCTTAAACATGCCAAGATCACCTCTGATTTGGGGGTTTTTCACTTGTTTCTTCTTCCTGGAAAGCTCTTCTCTGAGGTCTTTGTATGGATGGCATCTTATCATTTGGCCACAGCTCAAACATCCCCTCCTTAGAGAGGCAACTTTTATGACCATGCAATTACATTGCCTTTTCAGATTTTCCTTAAAGCACTGATAAAACAGCTTCTACCATACATTTACATTCCAGTGGAGGAAAAATTGACAATGAGCAAAGAAATGGAAAAAAGCATTCTTGATGGTAATGCAGATTGTGAGAAACATATCTCAAGAGATCATGTACTCACTGTGTCTTTGGAACCAAGATGAGTAGGTGGTGCCAATAGGGGCTCTGTTATAAATATTTGTTAAATGAACAAAACTCTAGCTTTTATTCAAAGATTCAGGTTTATCTACAAAGAGCAAATTATATATAATAAATACACTAGAGTCAACTCTTTCTAATGTGTTAGTAAATTACTTGGAAAATCTAAAATTATCAAATTATTTGTAGAAAATTTATATTAAATTTTAACATCGTAACCATATTACTTTATTCATTATAAATATTCTGGTATAGATTATTTTTGGCATCGCTAATATTTAAAAACAAAACAAAGGCATTTTCTACTCTTTTCCTGTCAGTAATAGAGAAATATAGGTAGCTCCTGATGTTTAAGAGGGCATATTATAAATTGTATGTATAATTATACTTTAAAACCTTAGGCAAAACACTATAACCAATTCTTCTCTTAATCTCATTTCCCTACTTTCAAGCTTTGAAGTCTAAGTAATATTGTATTATTAATATTTAGTCTGTTTATATTCCTTCAGTTATGCTATTAATCAAATATATATCAAAGCTTATTACTTTTATCAGCAAACAATATTGCTGATTTTGTTTCATGTTTGTCAAACCTGTGAAAATTTGCATTTTGAATCAGAATGATTTTTCCACGAGGTAACTTCAAGGAACACAGCTCAGTCTGTTGGTTCTTGTACTTGAAACAGACACTCTTGGGGACAGGAGAGACTGGCTTATAGACCCAAATCTGCATTGATGACTTGAGGTGGTAGAACCTTTATTTGGGTAGGACACTTGTGAACTGTATTTTTTTGCTGTTGTTTTGTAGGTTTTTAAAACATTGAATTAGGTTCTGGTGACCTTAAATCACATGACTCTGAAAGAATTAGATCTCTGGGCTCATGTTGATTTGTCAAGTTACATGAGTATAACCTATATTTATGATATATTTTACAATTCTTTCATGAGAACCCAGTATCTATTTAATATTAAAGTGGATAACCATAGGTGAAATAAATGAATTAGATATTTTAGGCCCATATTACTTTGTTATTAATATGTAACTACAACGTGTATTTTACATATGGTTTTAATAAACTGTCTTCTTTTTTAGGTTTTGAAAGTACTGAATTGACTCCTCTTGCTGCAATATGCGTGAAAATATATTCTGGAGGAAAAGAATTAAAGGTGGATGGCTCTATTCAAGTTTCTCTCCCCCTTATACATACAAATGATGTAAGTGCAGGGGATCAGATACCTGCCTGGACATTTGATATGAACATAGGTATGTGAGCTACATGAAAATACTCTGAATATTTTCCTTTTGGGTGTTTGAATGTTTGATCTTAAAGATAGGTTTCCATATTACTATTAAAGATTTTTTCAGCTTTATTGAGGTATAATTGGCAAATTTTTATATGCTGACTATAGAATAATTAAAAATTAATGTGTCTTATTTAAAACATTAAAATATATCATTTATATTTGAATGATTTATCTTTAGGAGAGCACTAAATCAGTAATGTTACAATTCTAAGCACTTTATCAATGACCAGAATTTGGCCCCACTTTGATTAATATAATACAATTGTGGGGAAAATGATGCCAATATGTTACATGTAAAGAATAGTATTATTTATTCACATTCCTTTTTTATTAAAGTAAGCACTATGCCCAACATAGGGCTTGAACTCATAACCGAGATCAAGAGTCGTGTGCTCTACTGGCTGAACCACCCAGTCACCCCTCCCTTGCCTTTTATATTTCCTAAGATCTTTAACAGAAAAGTATAAATAAATTTTTAAAAAAACTATTTCTACTCTTCTAGGTTTTTGTTTTGATAAGCAATATGAACTTATATCTAAAAGGTTGGTTAAGGCAATTAAGAAATGTATGTTAATTTCATGAAAATAAACGACATTCTGCTATTAAGATACAGAGTGGTTATTAAAAAAAAAAAAAAAAAATCTCAGGTACCAATTTTGGTCCTGAGTTTAGTCTCCGAAGTAGAAGTACTTTTTCCTTCTCTGCTTCCCTTGGTTTTGTTCTTGTGTTTCCATGTAAATAAGAGGAGTGTCTTTAAATTACTAAAAAAGGGGGGAGGGGGCGGGGGATATGATCCACAATTGTTTTGGATGAGTCAAGATACAGAGCCTAGACAGTTTCACAGGATTTGATTTCTCTCATGTTTTCTCTGTGTTAATACCTTTCTGGGATAAGATTTACCTTCAGAGTGGCAAGAAGAGAGTGTAGGTGTTCTGACTTGACACACAGGTTGAAGTCCAATGGAAAGAGATTCTTTTCCCAGTAGCAATTGTGTAAGCTCTTGGATTCACTGCAGTTATAGAATTTTCATGCCCATCTCCGAACCAGCCTTTGTGGTCTGCAAATAGAACATACAGATTTATTTAGGCTTAAGATTCTGTGTTGGAGGCCCAAACTAATCATGTGGACTGAGAATATGGAGCAGTTAACCTTCAAAAGAGATTTGGAATGAGATTTCACTGCAGTTGGATTGGAAGGGTAGTTAGGCAAAAAAAAAAAAAAAAAAAAAAAAAAAAAAAAAAAAAAAAAAAAAAAATCCAAATACCTGTTTACTACAAAATGTAAACAATAATATATAGTTGCCACTGTTTTTAAATTTTTTTTTTCAACGTTTATTTATTTTTGGGACAGAGAGAGACAGAGCATGAACGGGGGAGGGGCATAGAGAGAGGGAGACACAGAATCGGAAACAGGCTCCAGGCTCTGAGCCATCAGCCCAGAGCCTGACGCGGGGCTCGAACTCACGGACCGCGAGATCGTGACCTGGCTGAAGTCGGACGCTGAACCGACTGCGCCACCCAGGCGCCCCATTGCCACTGTTTTTAAAAACATGTATATAAGTAAAAAGGATAGTTGTAAGAGAAAGTCTCTCATTGTGATTCTATACTCAGTATTGCACTTCTGTCACCAAATGTGGGGGTGTTTTTCTCACACCAAGCAGTTCTCTACCAGCTGGGTATCCTAAAATTCAATTCAGACACTACCTACCTAGAATTAGCATCAGATTCCACAGGTTAAAGGCTCAGTCTTCCAAGAGTGTCCCCTAACCCCCACCTCAGAGGCCAATTACAAGTCCAGTTTATCATCTGTGCTTCTGACCAACTGGCTATAAACTGGAGGTTCCCATGATCTTCTCCTCAACCTTGATAGTTGCTAGAACAGCTCACAGGAAAACAGTTTACTTACTATATTATCAGTTTATTATAGAAGAATATCCTCTCCTCTGGGTGCATCCCCTCCCACCACCTCCATGTGTTCACCAGCTCTGTTCTTCGAACCCTGTAGTTCAGGTATTTTTATGTAGGCATGATTGTCATTGACCATTGGTGATTGAACTTAATCTTCAGCCCATCTCCCCTTTCTGCAGGAGTAGGGTGAAGCTGAAAATTCCAACCTTCTAATCACTTGGTGGGTTTCCCTGGCAACCAGCCCAATCCACAGGGACTTTCCAAAAATCACCTCATTAACATGAACTCAGGTGTGGTTGAAAGTGGCTTGTTAGGAACTACAAGAGGTACTCTTTCCATAGGTAACATTGCATTTTATTACATAGATAACTCCAAGGATTTCCAAAGCTCTGTGTAAGGACTGGGGACTAAAACCAAATATAATATATTGTAATCATTGGATTAAGAGCTCTAAGCCCTAGATTCTAGTCCATTCACCAGCAGTGTGATTTTTTAAAAAAATGTTTATTATGACAGCGAGAGAGATTTATTTACTATGAGCGTGAACGAGAGAAAGAGAGCACAAGCAGGGGAGGGGTAGAGAGAGAGAATCCCAAGCAGACTCTGTACATCAGCACAGAGCCTAAGGCGGGGCTCGATCACAAACCCATGAGATAATGACCTGAGCCGAAATCAAGAGTCCAGTGCTTAACCAACTGAGCCACCCAGGCACCCCACCAGCCGTGTGATTTTGAACAAATCACTTATTTGGGCCTGAATTTCCTAATTTGTTGAATGAAAGAATTGTTTTAAAACAACATTTTAAAGAATATCTGTTTTGAGTTCTGGTTTCTGATTATTCGTCCTGACAGAGGCTTTGTACCCTCCAGTAACAAAATTTTTAAATTCATATATTCGATATATAATGCTTAATTGTATGACTATTAAAAACCAGTAAGTTGATCCATTTCTGTCATTTCAAGTTTGTCTACCTTATTAAATACTGTTTTACATGTTGTAGGTATATCATTACAGTGAATTAATAAACCAAGTACAAATATACACTGAACTTATAAAAAACTTTGTTATGCTGAACTTTATAAAAGATCTGGGTTTTACTGAATTTTTTTCTATGGATGGCATTTTATTAGATAGTATTTTTAAAAACATTCTTAAAAATTTCGTTCTAAAAGAGCTATGCCAACAGTAATAGACCAAAACAGTATTTAATAAAAAAATTAATGAGGCCATAAAACATATATTACAAGTGTTTAATCAGAATCCTGGAACAGGTGACAAATAGCCACCTATTGATAAATTTGAATTTCACTATTCACATCCTTAAAACCTATCTCAATATGTACAATTTAAACATTATTTGGAGAGTTGTGATTTCTCTAAATAATGTGTACATTCTTAGTTTATTTATAATGATTTTCTTTCCTTTAGTCATAACAATCATTCAAATCATCCCATTGTATATATTACAATATAAACTATATTTTGATATAATATGTATTATCTCATGATAATATATTGCCAGAGTCTTCATAATTTTTGAAAGAGTTCTGCAAAAACAGTCTATACATGACTATCAGCAAACAACTATCAGCCTTAAAGATCTATACACTAACTGATTGGGATTTTTTACTTACCTTTTTAGGTGCTTGGGTAAATCATGGCCAGGGAATGATCAAGGAACATAACAATCACTTCGTCTGGACATATGATGCACCACGTTTGGGCTACTGGATAGCTGCTCCACTTCCAGGATCTAGAGGTATTGTAAAAATGAAACAAAAGGCATTTGAAAAAATCCAAATAGTCAAACTGGAATTGATATCACTAGATCTCGATTTTATTCTAAACTTTGCCACTTACAGACTGTATGATGTTGGAAAAAGCTTCTAGTCTGTTGATCTCCGCTTTCTTTTAATTTTTTTCATGTGTATAAGATTAAGCTCTGTGAACTCTGAGGTTTTTATAGCATGATGTCTGATGAATCTGTAAAGTGTAAAGTTTGTTCAATAAAGCGTTTACTTTTCACGATAAATTTTACCCAGATCAGTTAAAGCGTTGGGTTGCAAGCAACAGGAACAGATCTTAGATAATTACATAAAATGTATTAGGATGCAGGGAGTTCATAGGATCCCAGGGAAGGCTGAAGAACTAGGTTCTAAAAGGCAGGAATCCTAGGGCACCCGGTTACCAGGCCTACTTGACTGTCTTTGCAGAACTGCTGCTCCATGTACAGCTGACTCCAACCCTTTGTGATCTTTCCTCACACTGTTCCTTCATTCTAGAGATAAAGAGTTTGGTTTGCCCAGACATGGGTCATGAGCACACCCCTGGGGTGAGGGCTATTGAAAAATAGTGTCCCCAGATTTTCTCAATATAAGACATGTGATACCCCAAATGAAGGTTGGCCTGACATAGGAGCTGAGGGTGGACAAAAACTAAGTCTTGTCCACTAGGAATGATCTATTCATGTTCTAGGTCAAATGAGTATTTTATTTTTCCTAGATTGGACATGCTATCAGATTATTTATATGATTTAAAGTAAGGAAATCCTATACATGCATCTTGAGTTGTGTAAATCTCTCAAAATACTCAAACATTGCATGTTTTATCCATTAAATCTTCTTACAGTCTTCTAACCTGTGGTAGTGTAGTCTGATTGCACCACGGGCTTAGTATCATTTTCTGGGCCTTTTGGGTGCTCACTGTATCAATTGAATTGCTTCGTGGCTTTGCCTGTCGCCAGCTTTGCTAAGTCAGCTTCCAGCCTTCACCATCTTCTTCCTCTGGTCTCTTACGACATTCTCCTTTAACCTGTGGGTTTGTTTATAAAAACAAAACCAAGTAAAACCATCAGGGTCATTTTAGTGAAGCTTTGGGGGAGTGTGAAGGTTGAATGCATATGTCGTTCCTACATCTTTAATCATGTGTCAGAGAATTCTTTTGGTTTGTTGAGTGTTTTGGCTCCCAGCTGAGAGGCAGCTGCAACCTGGCTATTTCATGCTAGTCAGGCACAGCCCCAGTGCACACCCTGACCCAGGATGTGGATGACATTGTACATACATTTCTCTGCAGCCTTCTATCACCTAACTTTGTTATGGTGGCCTGTTAATAATTCGAAGGCTCTCAGTTCTTTCTGAAGATGTCTTTTTCGATAGTTTAATTTTTATCATTTTATATTGACAGCCTTTGAATTTTAAACCATGCAAGGTAACAAGACTTTTTTTTTTTTCAATGAAGCTAACATGTAATATTCCAAGAGAAGAAATATGAGCCATTTAACCATTATGATCAAGGGGGATGTTCTCTCTGTTTTTGTTTGAACTTAGTACTTATGAGATTATTTATTCAGAAACTAGAGGGTGGTTACTTTTGTTCTTCATGATGCAAAATATCCTGCAGTCTTGCCAGCTGTCTGGCCATATTTCATTCTAGATTTGCAACTGTAATGAAATATTGATGAAAAAGAACAATTAATATTTAATACTCAGCTCAACTAAATCCCAGTTATTTCATTTCCAATAAAAATAACCCAGGGAACACTTGAGTTTTATAGAGAAGTGTACTTTTCCATTAAAAAATACCTGAAATCAACTTATAGAAGATGACTAGGAATTACAAAAGCCAAATTTTCCAAAGTAGGTGGAAGTTTTGTTTTAGCTTATAGTTCAGAGAAGATTTTGTGTGAATCAGAGTATGAAAATAGAAATGTGGGATTCCCATTTAGTTTGAATTAGATACCTTCTAGTGATGCTTTTGAAAAATCCATTCTGCGAGCCTATCACAGAGGAACACTAAACTAGAAATATGGATAGCTTGATTGTAGCTCTGGCTTTGCCGATAATTTATCCGGCTGAGTTTGAAATATGTACTTGCCTATCTGAGTGTTAGTTTTCTTATTTCTAAATGGTAGGAGTTGGATATGATGATCCTTAATGCCCCCTAAAATTTTAGATTGTGAGTAAAATCACATTTTGTAAAATCAACATTGGTCTTCTGATGGACTAGGTGCTGGAGCTACTTAAAGTTTAGCCAATAACATACTAAATCTGTTTTTTAAATACATTTTGAATGGAATTCTAGAATTCCTTGGAAAATAAGTGCAAGAAATTAAAATCAAGTGATTGCTATAGGCAAGTAGACAGCTGAGTAGTTTAATAAACAAGTACTTATGACAGTTTTTAAATATGCACTTTCAAATATATTTAAATGAAAATATAATTTCCTGCCTTTTTGACTCTTTTTAGGCATACACACAAACACACAGATGCATACTTTTTGGTGTTGTCATGTATATAAAATTTGGGAGAAACCCAAAAGTATCAGCCTCGTGTGTCCAAAAGGGAGTTCTGTTGGAATTGTGTGCTATGAAAAGTGTTACTCTATTGTGGAAACATAGACTTTTAGAGAAGTTGAATTTCACCCAGTTATAATCAAACTTTACTCCATTGCAACCCTGGATCCTAAATAAGAATCTGCAGATAGAAATGTTACTTTTATTTCTTTTCTTTTTGAAGAAATTTCATATTGTGAGTGCTGTACTTGGTTGTCTATCAGATATGATAAACACTTTGTTAATACTTACCATATATATAGGAAAGTGTGGCCAATACTGGAGTGCCAGTGAAGTTTCATTTAATAACAATGATGTTGTACACTGAGTGCTTATCATGTGCCAAGCACTAAGTGTTTTAATAAGTACTTACTCTTTTTTTTAATTTTTTATTTATTTTTTTTATTTATTTATTTTTGGGACAGAGAGAGACAGAGCATGAACGAGGGAGGGGCAGAGAGAGAGGGAGACACAGAATCGGAAACAGGCTCCAGGCTCCGAGCCATCAGCCCAGAGCCCGACGCGGGGCTCGAACTCACGGACCGCGAGATCATGACCTGGCTGAAGTCGGACGCTTAACCGACTGCGCCACCCAGGCGCCTCTTACTCTTTTTTTTTTTTTAAAGTTTATTTATTTATTCTGAGAGAAAGGGCAAGTGGGGGAGGGGCAGAGAGAGAGAGGGAGAGAGAGAATCCCTAGCAAGTTCCGTGCTGTCAGCATAGAGCCCGACTCAGGGCTCAAACCCAGGAACCATGAGATCATGACCTGAACCCAAATCAAGAGTCGGATACTTAACCAGATGCCCCTAATAAGTATTAACTCTCTTAATCCTCATAACAAGCCATATAGGTGAGATCTTCTAGATATGAAATGAGACACAAAGTAATGAAACTTGCCCCAAAACTAAATGAGAATGTTACAAAGAAATAAATGATGATGTTGGGTTTGAGTCCTCCTCTAGAGGAAGGGCTTATTCTACACTCAAATCTAAAGGAGCAAAAGGGGCATGTGGTAATGGAGGCTGGGGGTTTCTAAAGGTTAAGGTAGCAACAGGTACCTTCTTCCCTTTTGTTAATAGTATTTTTATACTTCATCCTCACCATATAAGACTTTATACATGGAATCTCCTGGGGATATTCTGTTCCTCCCCAGAGAGGGTAGAGGGTGGGAGAAGGGTATATATTTAAAGAAATTACATTAATAAAGTTTTTTTAATGTTTATTTTATTTTTGAGAGAAAGAGACAGGGCGTGAGTGGGGGAGAGGCAGAGAGAGAGAGAGAGGGAGACACAGAATCCAAAGCAGGCTCCAGGCTCTAGGCTCTGAGCTGTCAGCACAGAATCATTGAACCCATGAACCGTGAGATCTTGACCTGAGCTGAACTGGGATGCTTAACTGAGCCACCCAAGCGCCCCAAGAAATTACATTTTGATAGTAAGTTTCTCTGAAAAGAAAAAAGAAATAGTGAGACTGGGATTCTAATTGAGGCACTCTGGCTCCAAAGTTTGTATGCATAACCACAATACTACTTCTCCAAAACCTTTCTTACTACCATTATTATTATTTTATTTTTATCAAATAAGATGATGCAAAAGTTAAAGGATCTAAAGTCTGTCATCCTCAGTCTTTTCTAGGGATCTTGGTGAAGCTGAAAGCCTGATTCTGGATGTTTCTCGTGGTAGAGATTGCCAGAGAACCACCTGTCTGACCAGTCTTATCACTTTATCACCCTGAATTCATATTAGACTCTAGTTGATAATGATCAGTAGACTTGTTATATGTATTTAAAAAAGTTTTTTTAACATTTTGTTTATTTTTGAGAGAGACAGAGACAGAGTACTAGCAGGGGAAGGGCAGAGAGAGAGGGAGACACAGAATCCAATGCAGGCTCCAGGATCTGAGCTGGCAGCACAGAGCCGGATGAGGGGCTCAAACTCTTGAACCATGAGATCGTGACCTGAGGCATAGTCGGACGATTAACCAACTGAGCCACCTAGGTGCCCCTATATGCATTTTTTAACAAAGTGAAATCTTAGTGATATTAAAACAGATTACCTCAACATTAATTGCATTTACGCTCATGCAGAATCTTTTTTTCCTTTTTTTTTTTTGAGAGAGAGTACATGCAGGGGAGAGAGAGAGAATCTTCAGCGGGCTCCATGCTCAGTGTGGAGCCCAGTGTGGGTTTAATCCCACAACCATGGGATCATGACCTGAGCTGAAGTCAAGAGTTGGGGGCTCAACCAACTGAGCCACCCAGGCACCCCTCATGTAGAATCTTAATAGGCTACACTGATCATCCTAGTGCATTAATCTACTTTTACTGCAGTTAAGGTGATTACAACAGCAGTGTATATCTGTGCTCTCATAAAGAAAGACGGTGGGTATCTTGTGCCTCTGCATGGTGTCTTATTCTAAAGGCCAGACTGAAAGTTGCAACTCTGAATCCTTCGAGTGCCCAATTTTTAGATTCTGTCTAGAAAACCTTTCATACCTATTTTTACCTTGGCAAATTCCTTTTTGAATTTATCTTTAGATTTTCGTTTATAATTGAATATAGCTACTAAGTCAACCCTCATTATCAACATTCTATCCCCAAACCTCTCTGCACAGAAATATTTTCCCCTAGTTTATTCCACTACATATCTTGCTACCACACAACAGGAGTCAGTTTTACTGCCTCTTGAAGCAGATTTCCTCACTGGCCCAGCAGCAGGGCCTCATGACTTTTGGGCCTGGCTTGGTTCAGTTCAGCATTTGTTTTCATTCCAGAACCTAGGCTGAAGGAATAGCAGCACTTTTGGATATTCTGTCTGGATACTAGAAAATCTTAGCAAGAGGGCAGGGCCATTTCATGCCACTTCATTTAAGGTGCTCACATTTAATTGAACAGAACAAGAACTGATTAAGCCCAACACATAGGGAGTTATGTTCTACCCACAGGGAAGCCGCCATTGGATGGGAGCAAACAAGTATAGCTGTGTACACACCCTTAATCTGCTTTACCCAGGATAGGACATGATTGAAAATCTGATCTACCTAAAATAATATATTCTCTGTTTTACTTGTTTATATTGAACCATTTAGGTTCAGGTATAAATGGAGACTCAAGGGATATAACTGCCTACCACACAGTGTTTCTTACAGCCATATTAGGAGGAACAATAGTCATTGTCATTGGATTTTTTGCTGTGCTTCTTTGTTATTGCAGGTAAGAAGAATATTAATATGTATAAACACAGAAAACTATCTGATCATAGTATCATATCAATGTGTTCTGGGTATGACAGTTTATTTATAAAAATCAGCAGTGTGACCTTTAAAATATGTTGATTAAAATAAAACTGGATACAGTCTAAGAGCACTGCATATATAATATATATATATATATATATA